AAATTAAGCCACGACATTGTTGCGTACACTGAAAACACTATGAAATGATATTTTTTTCAAAAACTTACGATAAAAACTTTCAAATTCAGAATGTTTTTGATGATACGATGGTTGTTGAAATGAAATTTTCAATCGGTTGGTTGGTTGGCTTGCGAATGAATGAGATTCGGGTTATTTTCAACTCATTTGATAGAATTCGTCTTTTTCATTCGTTACACGCAGCCGCATTTATTGTGAGCAATGTGCACCAAAAAAAATGGCGCCAATTTTGGCGGCAAAAAAACATACACACCATCAATATATGTGAATAATCGACGATAAGAGTGCATGAATTACATAAACGCACACACACACACAGAGACATAATTCCCATCGGTTATTTAAAGAATAATAATGTTATGTTTGATTCATCAAAAAAACATTCATTAATTTGTTTGAATAAATGTTTGTGCATCTATATCACACAATATATCACACAATAGCAGCAGAATTTTCATTGTTGAATGAACATATTTTTTCGGCTTGGCTATATTTACAATTGTTGTCCGGCAATTCATTACCGTTACAATTTTCGCAAATCGATCGCAATGTTTCAATGGCTCTTGAAAACGAAGAAATTATTAATAATGATAAATTATAAATGATCATCGAATGATTATTTTCATTATTGGATGAATGGTTTGAAGATTTTTATTTATTGTACCACAACAGAATCAGCTATATAGATGAACAAAATCGATCAATGGAATGCTGAATCGAATTAAACTTTTTGTTGTTGTTATTATCACGAAGAAAAACTTGAAAATTCCAGTTTTTTTCGGGCAATATTTTGTCGAATTTCGACGATTCTATCCCGGGAAAAAATATCAAGAAAAAGAATAACGTTCGAAAAAAAACCTGATTATATCGATGGTATCGATTTCGGTGAGAGGTGGAAAAAAATAATGGCAATAACTTTCTGATCAATTTTCTTGAAATGATTTTTTCATTTCGTTTCCGAAACAATTAATCAACTATTTTCATGTTTTTCACAATTTGCCGATCAAAATGATTTCCGGTTTACATTCAATTGTGAACAAATGATCGAATATGAATGGCCGCGGTCAGATTGGTATTGTTCTGATTTTCGTTATAAAATCATTTTTTCATTGTTGATTGGAAAAACATTACCATTCACAATGAGGCAAGTGTATGCTATTTGGCAATGTCGATTTCTTTTCATTTGTTTCTTTTTCATTTATTCATTCATTTCATAGAATCAGCAAGACGAAAGAAGAAAATTTCTGATTTAGAAAAGAATTTTCTAAATTTAGCAATGTCAAACTTTAGAAAAAAGAAATTTTTTACTTCAAAAATATTATTGTTGTTTGCCACCAATTATGAAGGGGGTGAATGAAAAAATGAAATGTCAACCTAATGTTTCAAACGGTGTGACAACAATTCGACATGAAAAGAAAATTTTTCTTGTGATCAAATTGAATTATAATTGACAATATAATGAACAATCGGCATTTCTTTTTTTATTTATTTTGAGAACAAACATTAATGCCGTTCATCATCATCATCATCATTTTCTTATGAATTTGATCATTATTCTTATCATTCACATTCATACATTTCTAAATTGAAAAAAGTAAATATCATTTCCAGAATTTATTGCGTCCCGATTCGTCATCATCATCATCATCATCATCATCGTTACGTCAAACATATTTAAATAGGCAAGAATTAAAAAGAAGAAAAAACTCAGTTTTCCCCGAAAATGACAACGAACGAGGAAGTGAAAAAAATGGAACAGAATGATCCGAGAAAAAAAGAATCGCTCTTGGAATTCAATAATAATAATAATTTCCACCGACATCTTTGTTTCTGTTCATGGCGCACAGAACAAAAAGATTCGTTTAATTAAATCAGTATTAAATCGTTTTAACACACTCATGAAAAAGTCGAATCCATGAAGAAAATTTTTTTTACTTACTGTAATATGAAAATTCTGCACCATTTTTTGAAAATAAATCATTCCAATTGAATATATATTGAGACATAAATTTATAATGATGAATTGTCATTAAATGCCATTAACCGTTATTAACATTTGTATGATGATCATGACATTAATCGTTGCTTTTTCGTTTTCATAAGAAAAACAGCTACAAATCAAATGAATGAAATTTATCAAAAAAATGAAAAATGAAGATCATCGTTATCATTATCATCAACGATCGATTTCACACACAAACACCAAATCATATGATAAACGGCGTTTACGATTCTCTCTCGTGCCATTATGCAAAAAAAATTGTCAAGAGCACTTTGTCAGTGTTTTTCCTTGGAAATTATTTGATTCATGAATTTCTCTCATCGTATAGTAATAAAATATGGGAATAAAGACAACTACAACAACAAAAGAAAAGAAAAACCATTGAATTCAATGACACTCAATGGTGGATCCATTCAAAATTGTCATTAAATATTTATATCGCAATGTATATGATATGCACAATCCCATTATAAAGTCATAGCATGAATTGTATTGAAATCGATAAATTTTCGAATTTTTTAAACGCTTTTTAATATCCATTATCAATGGAAAATAAAATTTTCGATTAATGATCTTAATGAAGAAAAACATAAAAACGAAACAAATACATTTCATCATATCATGTGATTCATCATCATCGTTATAACGTTGTCGTCGTACTCAAAATATTTAATTTCCGATTGACAAGTCAATGCAATGTATTTTCATTATTAGAGACCAGAGACAGTGCTGTTATCAAAACATTTCTATTGACATGAATAAATGATTTTCTACATGAATATTTTCCTTAGAATTCCTTTTTTCTTGTCGATTCTTTTTCAAATTCTTTGAATTTTACAAATTCAATGACAACAACAACAACAACAACAACGATAACAATCACCGAAAAAAGCATTTCAAACATTTCATTCAAATAACAACAACAACAACAACAACCAACGCATGAAAAAAACAATTCAACTTTGTTGGCCATATGTTGTTTGTTGTTTTTATCATGTGTTTCATTCATTCATTCATCACCAACATCATTTTGTTCAGTGAAAAAGTCTTGTTTTTTCAACCGGACAATCAAACACCAAAAAAAGTACAATTCCATTAGTGGTGTAGTGAAACAAAACAAAACAAAAAAAAAAATATCCGATCACTTGATGCCGTATACGTAAGCCAATTTTAGAATTTAATTCAATTCGAAGCCTTTTCTGGTTTTTTTGTTTAATATTTCCCGTCATTGTCGATTTTTACCCTCCTCTTGCACTCATCCCCAAATCATCAATAGACTGTTGAAAAAGAAATTTTCTTTAGAAAAAGAAAAATTTTGATAAAAATTCGAATGACAAACATTTTTTGATTCTGATGGCCATTGTTCAATGTGATTTTTTCGCTTGACAACAACAACAACATCAACAATGAAAGAAAATCATGAAAAAAGTGTCATTTCCTGGAAATCCATTTATTTAAAAAAATGAAAAAAAATCGAAAGAAAAAGAATTGAAAAATAACATCTTTTTTCATTGGCACGATCCATATTTTTTTCATAAATATTGAATCGGGAAAATAAATTTTTTTCGTTCGTTAACGATAAGGGATTCACTTGATTTGCCCATTGGGAAAAAATCGGTATGTATATGATTCATTAGAATTTTCATTTCATTTTGTTTTACATTTTTCTTCCAGCTTAAGAATGGATGAATTTTGAAACAGAATTTCGTGCATCGAATTTTTTTTTCGTTTTGTTCTTTCTCACCATATTCAGGAGATAATCGAGATGAACAATTAATCATTTTTTATCTGTTTTCTAATGTTTATTATACGTGAAATGATTTTCAACACAAATCCGCAACACTCACTCATCATCAATCGATATGGGAAAATTATTCAAGTGAAAAATGAAATGATATCTTCTTGGTTTTGCTATTGGACATTTGGCTACACACAATCCACATATTGGATTTATTGTTATCGATAAAAAAAAACTTTTGCATCTTTATTGACACCAATTTTTGATGATGATGATGAGAAAAATGTGAAAAAGTGATTTATATTTTTAAAGACCTTTTTTAAAGATTGAGTGAAATCAAAGACTTTGAAAATAATTCTTTTCAAGTTTTCAAGCGATTTGGAAGGAATAAAAATTCACTTTCTTCGTATTGTTGCTGTTGTCTATCTTTTGTGAAGCTTGATTGATTCTTTTCATGCATTAGGAATTTTCATATTTTTTTTTTGCCAAATTGAAAATCAAGACAAAAAGAGCATTCGAATTCGTCGAATATAAAAAACCGGAGATCCTGAATTTTTTTTGAAGCTTAGCAAAAATGGAATTTTTCATTCTACAGACAATTTAAATCAATGAAAAATAGATTGGCATCACTGACTCGTCAACAACAGTGAACAACAACACCATAAATGGCACAATTATCATCATCATTTATTATTGGCCATCAAAATATAAAACAGAAACCTTTTTCTTTTACCATATACATCGACATTGTTATTTAACGGATCGATGATTAGATCCTGCTGCTGTCGCTGGTAGACAAATGATTAGTATAACAGAAAAAAATTGGAACAAAAAACAAAGATAACCGACAACAACAGAAAAAAATTGATAACCGTATCGAAACGATGATGATGATGATAATGATGATGAAAAAACGGGGATTTTTAAACTATGGTTCAATGACGATAATGATGATGATGATGATGATCGAATCTTTGAAATGATTTTTAATTACAATTTAGAGAACAGAAAAAGAAACTATCAAAATCTTTGAAATTATTTGACTGAAAGTGAATCTAGTAATTTTTTTTCTTTCTCCGTCAAGATATGATCATCATCGGTCGGTTGGTATAATGAAATCGATAACAACAACAATTACGACAACAGCTGCTTTGTTTTTTTTTCACTTATTGATAATGAACCAATGAATTGAATAATTTGAATTTTTTTTCAACAACAACGACGACGATGATGAAGAAAAAACTGATTTTTTCGGGTAAAGAGTTGATTATTTATTTTTTTTGGCCAATTTGTTTTTCGTTGATTTCACAATTTTTTCTCTATTCATTTAACAGTGACAACAGCCGTTGTTTCTACTTGAAATGAAATGAATGAAAAAAATTCTTAAAAGTTAAAAAACTCCGTTACGCACAGAAAAACAAATGGAGAAGGAGAAAGCCAAAAGTATAAAATTCTTGGAATCAACGATCGTTGGTGGATTGAATGAGTGAGTTAATTTTTAAAACTTTTTTTTGCCGCTTTTGTACCATGTAATTATCGTTGTTGTTGTTGTTGTTGTTGTTGTTGCTATAAATTGATTCATTCAAATCGATTAATGTGCGGTGATTGAATTGCCATTATTTTTGTTCGATGATAATGTTAATCGATTGACATTTTGTGTTTGGCTGACAGACAGATTGTGTGTGTGTTTCTGAATTCAAATGACAATTGTTCAATGTTTTTATCGTAAAAAAATTCAATTTTCAATAGCTAAATGAATCAAAGAGATATTTGAAACGAAAAAGTGAAATTGTTACCTCCAAAAACGATGATAAATTAACAACAACAATGAAAAAGACTGATGATGATGATCAACAAGTTTGGTGAATGATTGACTTGACTTGAAGATGAATGAATGACACTGACAAACAATTGGATCATTACCAAATGTGTGATTGACATTTTTGTTTTTCTTCATATATAGATAGAAACATAATAATTTGAAACCATGAAAATTGTGTCTGAAACCTGTACAATGGCACAATTTGATGGCCATCTCCAGTAACAGCGACCAAATGATCATCACCAGTTTTTTGTTGTTCGTTATTTATTTGTGCAATGATGAGTGTCACACTAGTATTTAGATCTTTTATCTTTATTTATTATTCCATATGTGATTTTGTTATCTTTATTTTATTTAGACGAAAAAAATTACCGAAAAAAATGAAAATTGACATTTTACAATGAGAGACATGTGTGTGTGTGTGTTATTGTGTTTTTGTGTCATTCATTCAGTCAGTCAATAAGTTAGTTTAGTTTGAATGTCGATGATCCCGATGAAACATGTGAACAACAGCGACAGCAACGGTAAATGAGGGGAAGGGAAAAAATTCAAATTGATGATCATCATTCAATTTGTCTTGTCGAAAGTGACTTTTTTGTCTGTCTGTCTGTGTTTTTTAAATAACGAAACAAAAACTTATTCGTTATTGATATCTAAAAACAAATTTTTTTCTTGCCATTCTTCATTTCATTTGTGGTCCTTTGGTGGTGGTGTTGTGAAAAAAATGTTTTCATCAAAATTCTATTCATCATCATCAACATCATCATCATTGACAGTGACATTTCAAAAATCCACATGGTTAATAATAATAACAATAATTTTTTGTAGAATTCGATCATCATCAACTATATTATTTGGTGGTGTAAAAATGGTACCGAAATTTCTACCAAGAGTTGTTGCTGGTTTCTATAGTTTACATCCAGCATATGAAACTGATATACCGGCACCAATTGCATCGATGGCGGCATCAAAACCAAAATTCGTTATCACTTCTGCTGCTTCAACATTTAGTCATAATAAAAATAACTATCAACAATATCCTGGTCAACAACAACAACAAATAGTGAAATATCATCATGAACCACCAATGATGGTCAAATATAGAAAACCAATAAATCATCAAAATCAATATAAAAAATATCACCAGATCAGACTTGATCCACATATCATCAATAATTACATGTTGCTTGCACGAAAATTGGCCATTTATTATGGAACGAAATATCAATATTCTGTTGATATACTCTATGTATGTTGATGATTGATTGATTCAAAGTTTTTTCTTTATTCAAATTTATCATTTCTGTTGTTTTTTCAGGATCAAATTTTACGAATCATGTTTGATTAAATTGTAAGTGAAAATTATTCCATTTTTTTACAAAAATTAAAATTCCTGGCAGACACGGAATCGTATATGGAAAATATATAGCATATTAGGGTAATAATCGAAAGAAAATCCAATAAAAAAATATCGAACCAGACAGCGGACACAACAACAAGATATGCGCAAACATGATCGGTATCATTTCGAAGTTACTGAAACTAGAATTGAGAAAAAAGAAATAAAGTGAATTGACAATATCTATGTGCAAATTACGAAAACATACCAATTATGATGATCAATATAATGGCCACAACAACACCGATAATAATGTTGAGCTTCATATTTTGCCACCACATTTTTCGTTGTACACGCCGAGCACCAGCACGAAATTCAGTAGAATATTCTGATAAATGTTCTGAACGATCCTGTAAATTATCTAGATTTGATCCACGTTGCATTATTTTATCGATATTCATTTGCATTATATTCGATACTTCTTCAACATGTTCTTGAAGCCTTGATGATTGCAATGAAAAAAATTATGAAAATGTCCATTTACAATGTCCATTAGCATGTTAATATTACCTTTCTATTTTTTCCTCTTTTTTATTTTGTGTAGATGACGGCGATTCATCTGGGTTTTTCATCTATCGTACACAATTATAGAACGAAGAAAAAATCAGAAAAATTCTCAATTTTTTTCTCGAGTTCCAAACTTACGTTTACAGGTGTATATCCTCCTTCATTATTATTGCTGTTTGGTGCCGAAGAAGACATTGTGATGTGTTTTTTATATCAAAACAAAAATCAATTTTTATTCAAAGGAAGAAAATTGAGCAGCAACCAAAGTTTTCAAATTGTTGTTGTTGTCTTGTTCAATTTAACAAATAAAATCAATAAAATGAAATGACAAAGCCGTTGTTGATCATCAAAGAAATATTTTTCAAAATTGATAACTTTCGTTTTATATGATATATACTTGATCAAATGCGAGAAGGAGTTACATACCATCTCCTCAAAAAAAAATTAAACATAAACAAAAAAACAAAAAAATATTGCAACCAAAAATACGAAAATACACATCTGTCAGTTGATGAAAGCGTCATGCTTGTTATGTAGGGCACATTTTCTTGTTTTGATTTTTTGATTTCAAAAATTCTCGCCAATTATTTGATTAACAAAACATTTTGTTATCTTATCAATTATCTTATTTATGAGCCATATAAGTCCTATCATTCGAATGGCATAGCAATGGATAAACAATCGAACTAGAGACAACAAAAACAATGTCTCAACGAAAAATCTCAACGACGAGTTTTCTTTGCCTAATAATAATCATGGCCATGATTATCAAACCAAGTCAAGGATATTGTTGTCATCGTGTTCGTATCTATAATTGTTCTGGTACTGATGAATTACAAACATTGTGCCCAGATTGTACTGAACCAACACCATGGTGTGGTGTAACCGAATGTAATTTAATCGGTTGTAATTGTTTTGGTTGTCGTGAGCAAAAACAATACACACGAATCGATAATTTGGCCATAACCGATAATGATGATCCGATAAATCATTTTTAATGAAAAAAGGAACCTAGAAGGAAGAAAAAAATTGTTTTGCAAATAATTTTATTTGAAAATTTATCGAAAAAGAATTTTTCTTCTAACTTCTACTACAAAAAATTTACGTAATTCTCTACAAGAATCATTCAACTATTAATTTGATTTTTCGTTTTGTTTTATTCAATAATGAAATTTTTTTGGTCGTCAACAAATTCATGATGATGATGAATTTTCAATGATGATTGATGATGATTTTTTTGGTTTGAATTTAATTTAATATTTATTTCCTTTTGTCTGTGTTGATGATGGATAAATTGACGATGACGATGATGATGGATCAATCATTTGATTTCGTTTAACTGCTAATCCACGTAATATATCTCGACTTTTATGTTTTTTACTCAAGTCTCTTTTAATCTGACTAAATGATGTTAATGGTAATGATTGTTCAATTAGCCATGATGGTATAAGCCACCCTGAATGTAACATTGATGGATTTAGATAATCATCTGAGCCTTTGGAATAATTAATTAAACGTTGGGAATTATTTACAGTAAAAATTTCAAATTGATTTCAACACTTACTAAATGAAATTTTGCGTAAAACATCTGGATTATTATTGTTGTTAATGATTCGTGGCAATTCTTCACCACCAACACCAGTGAATATGATTCCACCATCATTATCACTCAAACTACCATAAAATGGCGATGCATCCGCCATCAATGTGAATAGAAACGATGAACAAATCAAACCAAAATAAATTGTCATCATCATTGATTGATAATTATTCGTAGCCATTATCATTATTATGTTGATGATAAAAAATGAACAAAACGTTTTGGTTTAGCCGAAAAATAAAAATCCAAACAGGCCAGAAAATAATGTCCGATATTTATAGGCATTTATCAACAGTAGAATTCCACACCGACACCTGCGTCTTTTGTGAAAAAGTAACGAAAGATTCATTTCCGATGTTTATCATATAAACGTTGTTGACGTTAATTCACTATTCATGTATGTAATTATTATTATTTACACGGGACAAGAGATATATTACGGATATTTCTTTTTCATATTAGCATAAGTCATATGAATATTTACACACACACACACTGAAAATGATTTGATGTAATTAAATTAATGAAATAAAAATCTCTATATTTAGAATATTGATATATGAAAGAATGATGTTTGTTTGTTGATATGCGAAACATAAATATCCAATTTTTTGCCATCCAAATATTCATTATTATCTTTCTATTTGCTCTCGGTGTTGGATCAAATTAAATTGAGAGAATCAGTGGTAATAATGATGAAAAAGTAATGATAATAATAAACTTGTGAATCATTTTATTCCATTAGAAAATAGGCTTCTTGTATCAAAATAGCAGAAGAAAAATAAATCGGATGAAATTCAATAAAATTAATTTTGAACCCTTAATCCATAATTCATAATATGTTACATTAAAAAATTATTAAATATAATAATATAATGAAATATATTGGCTACTTGTGTGTCATAGTTTTTAGTAAAATTTGAATATTTTGTCATCGTCATCATCATTTGAGATTATCCGGAACAATTATCGATTTGGCAAACAATGCTGCAATTGCTTGATTTTTATCTCCATTGAATGTATCCAATTCGATAATCACCTGTTCACGTTTGAATCCCATTGATACTAATTCCTGGATATCTGCTTCTGAATGACGTGATCCAGTACTACTATTGCTACCTGACCCTTTGTGGAAAAAAAATAAAATAAAATCATGTGGATTTATCAAAAAATTTTCATCTTTCAAAAACATACTTGATTGATGGCCAGAAGTGGATGGAGTTTGAGCTGATCCACCACTACTATTCGTCATTGGTGATGATTCTTTCAATGATTCTTGTATAGCTTTTTGTACATCATCCTGGGCTAAATCTTCATTCATATTTAAACGTGCAAATTTCGGTATTTCACTTTCAGAAAGAAACGGTGTTTCCGTTCCTGTGGTACCGATACGTAAAACATTTGATTTGAGATCAATGGAACATTGATAACGACGAAGCATATCTAAACCAAGTAACATATCCATTGGTTGATGTTCAAGAATAGTGAATGAACATGGTACAAATACGCCGTTTATTTCCAATTGCACAAGATGAATTTTGCCCAAAATTCGTTGTGTACCAACACCACGTGCAATACCGGACCAACGATTATCAATCAATCGGAGAATATTACAACGTTCGGCACATGCTTTACTCATGATTGTTGATTGTGCACCGGAATCGACAAAAGCTTTGATTGGAAATCCATTCACCTTACAATTAATGTATAACATGGCAACTTCAGCAAAACTTTCGGGCAAATATTCCATAGCTGTTTCCATGTTGGAATCAATTTGTTGTCGTCGTATCTCTTCAGCAATCATTCGCTGGGCTTCCGAATCAAATGGATCGGCCAACAACATTCGGATACGACGTTGATCTTCTTTGGCTCGTGCTTCCTGTTGTATACGAAGCGTTTTAGCAAATTCTTCAATTCCTTTATCGAATGCTTCAGCTAAACGTGGATTATTTACTCGTAAAGTTGCCACTTGTTCTGGATTCGAACGAAGTGTAGCGAAAATATTTTCAGCTTCACGCCGCTCATTTTGAACAAGATGATTGGGCACTTGAATGGATGAAAAATCTAATTGAGGTAATTGTTGTTGTTGTTGTTGTTGTTGTCCAAGAAAACCGGCATTATTCATCATTGTTTGACCACCACCGCCACCACGTCCATCTTTCACCAATAACATATCACCATCTTGAACACCATAAAATGACAATGTTTTATTAGATTCTTGTAAAAGTTTTCCATTGAAAAAGATTGACATATTCATTGAATCAATATTTGTTTCTAATGAACATAATGCTTTGAAATTCTCCAATTCCATATCACCGGACACATCAAGATGAATAATCAAATCGGTCAAAGTAGTGATTGTCAATTTCATTTTTTTCAAATCAAAATATCATTCAATTGAACTGTGAATTTTCTATAGAGCAGACTATAAAGAAATGATGAAAAAAGTAAACAACTTTGTTTCGAGAATGGATGTCGTAGTGAGTAGAGAATCAAAAAATCATCATCTAACACGATGCATACTGATGATGATGATGATTATAATCAAGACCTTTTTTGATTAGTGAAAATGGCAGAAATAGTAATACGGAATAAATTTCGCGGCCAAGTTGAAATTTTATGAATAAAATGATTCGAGAGAGAAATCCTTTCGTATTCTTGAAGGCCTCGACGACGATCGTCGAAGATGATAATGATTTTATACTTTAGATTTTTTTTTCTTTATTGACAAAAGAAAACGTAGTTTTTTTGGCAATGGGGCAATGTTGTTGAACTTGATGGTAATAATGATGATGATGAGGAGGAGGCCAATAGAGAGGGGAAAAGAGCAAGAAGAAATGTATGAGAAATACAAGGCCGGTTTATTGGTTATATAACTTTCGACGTATAAAATTGAAAAAAAATTTTCCATTCATTCATTCATTTAAAATTAATGAAAGAATATGGAGAACAACTTTTCATTTATAAACTAGGCATCTATTTCGTCATCTATGAATGGGAAAAGAGTGTGTGTTTTTGTGATGAATATATTTTGTTTTTTTTGTTACAAATTGTATCGATGGACTCGCAAATTTTCCGCGAACAAATCCCCATTTTCGGTGACTATCAAATGTATTTATGACATTTGTTTTTTTCATCAAATTGTATTCAATCACATCCTTCAAGTTTTCTTTTCAGAGTCCATTATACTTGATGTATGACAATGTATGGAATTCGGATTTATATGTGAAAACATGGTCAATGAGGTAATTTTACATTTTTGCCTTTGATTGAAAAATGCTATTTTCCTTGTCTTTTTAGCATAAAATCAATGGTCATTAGCATATAATGCCGTCTTTAGAAAACAATCATGGTAATGATGCCGAACATTATAAAATTTATTGGTGGATATCTGGTCACTAACATGGTACAATGTCCAATGAAACATTATATTCGTCATCAGGTAACTTTGTTATCAATCAATAATTCTAACACTTACATTTCTGGGTAAAAGTCTATTCAGAACATGCCTGCATTGAATTGTCGGAACAACTTATTCGGTAAGTCGACATATTCATTCTTCATATCTAATAAAGATTGGTCAATCTTTTTTTTATTAGGTTCGTTCCTGAAATTTTACAATCATCAAATTGAAATTCGATTTATGATTATGTTCGAGATCAATTCGGCGGTTCCATTGTTCATCAGCATCCAATTCAAGAATAGTTTGACCATGTTCAACACATGATATCAGGTTAGGATAGGGTTAGATTAGGCTTAGGAACACGGTCTGAGCTATTTCCTATTGAATTTGATGCTGATTGAATCTTTGGAATCAATGAAGCGATCGAAAACATGATTATAAGTCGAAGATTCATGGAATGGAACACATACTTGAAAATGATCATGGTAAGCAAATGAATAGATTAATTGAACAAACAATTAATATTTATTTTTAGGATCGCCGGCGAACAATTGGGAAATTGAATCTCGAACCACGGATAGAATTTGGACATTGTCTTGGAACGACACCATCGATAATTTCGATATATCGAAAACAATCGGTCGGGTGGTCATTTAAAAATCTATGAATTATGAGTAGACTATCGATATATCGATAGAGTCAGAGTAGCACAAAGTTTTGTGAGTACTCGCGATTTTGGCGAGATTTCAGAACCACCCAAAATCGCGAGTACTCGCTGGCCACCACTTTTTTCTTCTGTGATGGGGCAATGTTGTTGAACTTGATGGTAATAATGATGATGAGGAGGAGGCCAATAGAGAGGGGAAAAGAGCAAGAAGAAATGTATGAAAATACAAGGCCGGTTTATTGGTTATATAACTTTCGAATAAAATTGCAAAAAAATTTTCCATTCATTCATTCATTTAAAATAAATGAAAGAATATGGAGAACAATATAACACTTTATAGTGTTCTTCGATAATGAATTGATTGTTATATCAAATTTTGAGAATTTCATTTTCCGAAACAACAATAGTTCGGGAATTTAGAACAAAATTATAACATTGTTTTTATTTATTAGTTCATAGATTTTGAGTTAAAATTTTCGTTCAACCAACTTGATCGATCAATGGATGGACCCACTAGCTCATCAAATGATATCATCATAATCAACATTGTTTTTCTCTCTTCTGGATATTTATTGTGATAAATTTTACAAATTATGAATGAATGAAATGACTTTAAAGTCAACTGTGTCATCATCATCATAACCTAAGTGATTTTGATTCAATCAATTATTCGTACTTGAAAAGAAAATTTTTGAAAAAAAATTGTTGCGATTATTTCATTATATTAAATGTCTACTATGAGCAATGTGAACACACCATCAACATTTCCATCATCAGCATCAATGACAATGACAAATAAAAATGAAATTGGCAAGTTTTAAAATATGACAAAAGTTGAAATTTTCTCATCTAATTTGTATTCATTTTTCCACACTAATAGATTATCAAACAAACATGAACGGAATAAATACGGCTAGCAACAATAATAATGGCTATGAATCATCGTCATCTAATAATAATACAAAAAATGACACAAATATTGATTTTGCAAATAATAATTCAGCTACAACTGCTGGTGGTGATTCTGCTAATGCTTTAACATCAGCTACAACTACTACTGCAACGACATCCAATAATAATCCAACATCATCAAGTGGTTCAAACAACAATGATAATTCATCCAACAACAACAACAATAATAACCAACAAGATGATGTATGTAGAGATTATCTACGTAATGTTTGCCGTCGTGGTAAATCATGCCGTTATAAACATCCAGATATTAATGATAGCGAAATGATGAAAAATAAAGATCCATACGTATTCTGTCATGATTTTCAGAATCGTGAATGTCGTAGAGATAATTGTCGATTTTTACATTGTACTAAACAAGAAGAAGAAATATATCGTAATACCGGAAAATTACCACCACATATACAGGCTCAATATCCACCAGATGAACGTAATATTGCTCCAGTTTGCAAAGATTTTCTTAACAATACATGTCGTCGTGGTCCACGATGTAAATATCGTCATCCATTACCGATGAATGATTCTTTTCATCAATATGGTCATCATCATCATCAACAACAACCACTTCATCATTCATCATCACCATCAAATCCTGTGGCACGTATTGGAAATCAATTCAATGGCCGTGGCGGTGGTGGTAATTATCCTAATTCACATATGGCCGATTATCCAACACATTATAGTCGAGCTGGATCCAATAGTGGTACAATGATGCCTTCAAATTATGGATCATATGATGCTTATGCCGATACAACGCCTCAAAATAAACGTAAACGTTATGATCCTCAATCATCGATGTATCATCATGAAAATAATGGTCCATATTCGGGAGCTTATCAGGAGCCACCACCCCCTCCACCACCACCACCATCTGGAAATGTTCGCAATACTTATGGAGGTGGTAATTCAATGCATGACACACCTTATGGTGCTAGTGGTGGTGCAGGTGGTTATCCAAACTCACAGCCACCACGTTCACAACAACCACCAACGATCGATTCATCAAGATCATATCTGGAGGAAGAAAATGCGGCATTACGACGACGTATTGATGATCTAAAGAAACAGGTGCAAGATTTATTGTCCACCAATGAATATTTGATGGAACAAATGAATCAGATACGTGCATCTGGACAGGCGGCCGTAGCAGCAGCATGTGGTGCACCACATGGATCAACATCAGTCGCATCATTACAACCACAACCAACGCCTGGTTCAGTACAGTCGACCGCACCGATTGGTATGTCTGCACCGATAACCTTACAAGCACCGGCACAAGCAGCCGTTGCAATTGGTCCATTACCACCAGTTTCAATTGTATCATCGATAGCATCGATTTCATTGCCAACCGTATCGGCACCTGTAACATTGGTACCGAATAGTTCGGCAGCCGCCTATACACCATCGATGGCAACAATGCATTCTTCAAATCCGTGGCCTTTAGGTGTCGATCAATTACTGAAGAATGATCTTTAACAAAACAATTTCTGTATGGCTTTATCCAACTATATCACGCCATTTCCATCAATTCATTATTAACACCATTGCATAACCGATATATTGCAAATCATCATCATCATCATTTATTATTATTATTGAAATATATTAATCACTCAAAATTCATCCATTATCAACCAAAAAAAAAAAAAAAGAAAAGAAAACGAAACAAACATTCAAAAAAATCATTCAACCATCCATCATATATATTCATTAATTCATTTAAGAAAATAAAAACAAAACAAGTACCAAGAAATATACTATATTATCTGACATATTATGATGATAATCCATAGCGATATTCATAATTTATAATTCATATCATCAATTGTTGCTTATTATTATTTTTTGAATTATTTAGTAAAAGTCTACTATTACTCTTTCAAGGCAAATACCCACATGCACACATACCATAATTAATTCATTCTAATCAATTGATTGTTTTTCCCATACATACACACAAACACACAGTGAACAGTCAGAAAAGCATAAGAGAATATGGAAAAACCCCCTAAAACACACACACAGATAACCTTGTTTGTTTGATTACTTAACTATTCACATAGGGTTTTATTTTTTTTTTTTTTAATTTGGATTATTATTATCCTTATTGCACCAATCACACACACACACACACACACACAGACATTACAAATATTTTTATTTTCACAACCAAAAAAAATGTGAACATGTTTTTGGTTTGTTTGTTTGATGGGGAATGATGATGAATAATAATAATTTGAAAATGAAAATGAAACAACATCATTTTTTTACTAATTTCGTTTCGTTTATCAATTTTATCAATCATCAATACGGTGACAAGTTTGTTTTAATTTCATTCCTTCGTTCGATAAGTTATCCAAAAGAGCATCAAGTTTGAAAGAGAAAAAATTTTTTTTATCATCAACAATCTCAAGGTCCATCTATGATCGTGGTTTTTTTCTTGGTTATAAAAAACTTGTTTCTGTTGTTAACAGTTAACGAGAAAGAGAGAGAGAGAAAAAAAAATTTAAAATCGGATGACATCTTTAAATTCCAGAAATATAAATTTCATCAAACATTAATAAAATTTTCAAATCAAAAGTATTTTCTTTTCATATCTTGATCATTCATTCATCATCTGCATCACCATGAAAAAAATCATTGAATGTGTACCGAATTTTTCCGAAGGTCGAAATCGTCAGGTATGATGAAATCGAGAATTTATTGATCGACAAAAATTTAATCTAATTTTTCTCTATCGATTTTAGATTATCGATGCAATTGCCAATGCAATTCGTTCGGTTCACGGTGTCACACTGTTGGATGTAGATGCTGGCCAATCAACTAATCGTACCGTGTACACGTTTGTTGGTGATCCAGATACAGTAATTGATGGTGCATTAGCTGCTGCACATGTTGCACAGGAATTAATCGATATGAGTAAACATCATGGTGAACATAAACGATTAGGAGCAATGGATGTTTGTCCATTCATACCGGTCAGCGGTGTAACCATGGATGATTGTGTCGATTGTGCTGAGCGATGTGCCAAACGATTAGCATCGGAATTGAATATTCCCGTATATCTTTATGGTTTCGCTTCCAAACAGGATTATCGGTAAATTAATGTCGTTGTTTTCATTTTTTTTCTTCACTTCATATTAATCACTTGCCATTCAAAACAAACATTAGACGAGAAGTACCACAAATTCGAAGTGGAGAATATGAAGGTCTTATGGAAAAATTGAAAGATCCATTATGGATGCCGGATTTCGGGCAACCAGTATTTAGACCAAAATGGGGAGCTTCGATTGTTGGTGCAAGAAAATTCTTGATTGCTTACAATGTAAATCTAGTATCGACGAAAGAACAAGCACATCGTATAGCATTGATGATTCGTTCAAATCGTATGGATGGTCAAAAAGGACGATTAGAAGGTGTACAGGCGATGGGTTGGTATTTGAAAGAACAAAATATATCCCAAGTTACAGTGAACATATTGGATTATGAAATCACATCCATACATCAGGTTTATGAAGAAGTTCGTAAAGAGAGTTTGAAATTAAAACTACCTGTAACCGGTAGTGAAATAGTTGGTCTTATACCATTGAAAGCTCTAATGGATGCAGCAGAATTTTATATTGAAAAAGAATCATTATTCGTGTTGGAAGAAGATCAAAAAATTCATTTGGCCATTAATCGATTGGGTTTGAATTCGATTGGAACATTCGATCCAAAAAAGCGTATCATTGAATATCTTATAAAAGAAGATGATCCAAATAAATTGGTGAATCAAACATTTGCCAATTTTTCATGGATGGTTGCTGATCGTACTAGTGCACCAGGTGGTGGATCAGTTGCAGCTGCTGTAGCATCACTGGGTTGTGGGTTATCATCAATGGTGGCTAAATTATCGTATGGCAAAAAAATGTTTGAACATACTGATACTCAAATGCGTCGCATAATACCCCCATTACATAATGCTGTAGCCAAATTTCTATCATTGGTCGATGAGGATACAAATTCATTCAATAAATATTTTGAAGCTCGTGCTTTACCACAAGATTGTCAAGAGAACATCAACAAGTGAGTATCACATATCATGTATATTGATGAATGATAAATTTGATTTCATTCATAGGCGAAAATTGGCAATGGAAGCCGGTCTTCGTCATGCCATCGAAATACCGATGACAACTGCAAGAATCATAACAAAATTATGGCCAATCATTGAAGAATTGGTGGAATTGTTTCATCTGCCTACCAGTAGTGATATATCAGTCAGTGTTCATTGTCTAAGAACCGCTGTATATGGTTGTGCGTATAATATATTCATCAATTTGAAAGAAACGGATAAAACATCGACACTTCGTGAAGAGGTAAATGAATTAAAGTTGAAATTATTCAATTAAATAATGTCTATACTTACATCAACTGATATAGATGGGCAACGAAATTCGTGGCCATATCGATATGGCTGAAAAAATGACGGAAAAAATTTTGGCTCGCGTTGAAGAACGAAATCCAATTATGAATACGATGGCTGATTTGGTTAACGATAATAAGCCAAGAACCGATAATGCTTTGGTTAATGGTTAATACTCATAAACACGATTCCCCCAATCTTTCCAAAACTTGTTACAGATTACACAAATGAAATAAAAGACAAATCCTACTAAGATTCATGATCATAAATAAATTTGCAGGTGCTTCATTTGAAAACCACTACTATCGACAGATGGCGCCATTTTATTTTTACCAGATCATTCAGATATGAAAATAAAAATGGTCATGGTCAATATGAATTGCTTTGGGTGATTCTGATCATAAAATTGATTTTTTTTCATGTAATTCAGATAAAATAACATTTGGAAAGCCCAGAAATTGAGTCGACAAAAAAGAAAACAATGATGTAGGGACAATAGAATTTAATGATAATTCTTGTTCGAATTCAACGACTATTCACGCCATTTTGACCATCGAATGGTTGCAATGCTTGAAATTAGACATTTTACATGGTTTCATTTGGAACACAAACATTTGAACTATGGTGTGTATGTGTCAGGATAACAATTTGTTGTTGTTGGCCACAATCGTCGAAGACAATGTGATGAATGACTTATCCAATTGATTGATGTCATCATTGATCGTTTGTAATAGTTGGCAACTTGTTTGTAATAATTTTTGTGTGGACAACAAATTTCGAATGATTTGGCTATATTTCTTTTGGGCCATCAAATATGGTGAACAGGACACTTTGATTAAGTTTTGTTTAACATGTTCATTACTTTCCTCTGTAAATGTGTGAAATCAAATCAAATGGTCAAAAAATCAAAATAAACTAATACTTACTTAACAATGAATGTAAAAGGCTGCTTTCGAGAATGGCATTGAAATAAGTACATGGGCGAATGTATGATAAATGATAATCATAAAAAAAAGATTGATGAAATCAAATTAAACAGCAATCAAATTTGATTTGGATTATCATCGAACATAAATCATTCAACTTACGAATTACTACTTTGACGATGATGACAAGATGCCGTAGTCATGGAATCTGAAAATGGACAAAAAATTGCTCAAATAAATAATTGTTTCCATCAGTAATGTTTAAATTTACCTTTTAAAGTGGGTCGATTTTTTGTCCCTGATGATTGAGGTATTGGTGATGAGATCGATGTCACACCTTTATAATTGTTTTTTTGTTTGTCATTTGCATATTGGTTTGTATTCTTTGTTGCATTCGTCTCGGTCATGTTGGGTCGTTCATGACCAATGGATTCGGAACTAGTGAATGATGTTTGTTTTACCTCACCAGCAGTGATATCTTCAGCCATTGGTAAAACATCATCAATAATTTGAACCTGATCAAGTTGGTCATCATTATCATCAGATTCGGAAGCTTCCCCGATAACGACAACGGCCGATAATTTATTATTGCTGTTGTCTTTACGATGTACCAATGTCCTCAATTCTTTGCCATTATTATTATTACGAACAGCAGATCGACGATGCATTGTTGTTATCAATGTTGGTAATGTTGTCTTGTCCGTCGTCGTCGTCTTCACAAATCACAAAATATACAAATTAGCGAAAATCAAACATACACACAGCAAGCGCAAACAAATAAGCGAATATCTTTGAATGAAAAAAATATGATGTAAGATGAATGAATCATGATAATGGCACAAATAAAAACTAAAGAAAAAACAATTTCAATAGAACAAAAGGAGACATTTACCGAATTGGGGAAAAAATGCTTGCTTGCGATATTTATTGGAGAAGTGTTATTGTCAGTATTTGCCAAGTTTTTTGTCTAGTCTTATTATTTGATGTGATTCGATGAAGATGATGATGATGTCCTGATTAGCTCAACCTGCTGCTTTTTACTCTCAGAGTAAAGGGATCGTAAAACTAACACCGATCATAATAATAATAAAAATAATGTGATGAAAAAAAAAAACAACAAAAAGTAAATACCTTTGTGAAAAAAATAAGCACCCCAAGGCCCAAACAGGAATACAAATCATCAAAATATCAACAGATGAATTCGAATGTTTTTTTCTATTTTGTTTATAACGATGTCGATATATATCACCTGATCAGTGTGCATATGCGTAAATTGGTAGGACGAATCATAAAATAATCGATTGTTGCAGCGATTATTAATTTCAATTTTTTTCTGTTTTCAAATAGATTAATTAATAATTGGCACCATTTTCTTTTTAAAATTATTAAATTCATCACACACACACACACACATAGTAAAAAACAATGGTAGAATTTTTCTATTCTCAACACTTTTTTGTTCTAATTGCGAAAAAAATGAAATAATAATTAAACCACGAAAACAAAGAAAAATTATTGCATAAATCTGTTGGTAATCTGCTATCTTTGTCTTTCGATCGTGTTTATGAAATAATAATAATTAATAACAACAAAATATTGTGGCTAATCAACAAAACATTATCTCATGATGATGATGGTTATTATTTTAGTAAAAAGATGAAATGAAAGCGAAAATCTGTGAATATTTTTTTTTTTAATTTCATAGATATGATATCCATTTTATTCCAATCATCATCATCATCATTATTTCACTGTAGGACAAAAGGATAAAAATTTGAACAAAGAAAAACAAAAGATAAACAACAAAAATGTGTGCCAAGGGATATTGGAAAGTTGTTTTTGTTGTGTTGACCAATCATGCGCGTACAAAAGTCTTTTTTATGATCACAACAGCCGCCGGTCAAAGATGAATTGAATGATGAAAATAAATATATTTGAATTGTCCATCATCAACATATATATGATTTAAATGTGATCTCCAGTGAAGGTGGATGGATATATTCAATTCAATTCAATTTCAATCAAATCAATGAACGAATACATTTTTTTTTTTTTTTTTTTGGTTTTCGTTTCGTTTGTCTTTCTGTGTTGTCAGTCCATTCCAACACCACAGTCAAATTCAAGTCAGTCAGATTTTTTTTCTTGATCATAAGATGCTCTGCTCATAAGTTTGATTGACAACATCATGCCGTGTGTGTGTGTGTGTGTAGATATATTGATGATGGACAATATATAATTGTATATTATGTAATGATAATCATCATCATCATTTTTGGCTATATAATGTAACCAACTGCTGCTGCTGTCAAAAAATGCTTTTTTCTCTCGAAAAAAATGTAGAAAAGAACAAAACAAAAATTCAAATCAAATTTAATTTAATCAGCAAATATAGAACGAGAGCACAGAACAAAACAAAATACTCTGTTTTGTCACTGAATGGTTCACATGCCTGTTTTTTTTCTTGTTTTCGGAAAAATTTTTCCCGACATATTTTTCTTAGTTTTTTTTAAATAAATTTAATTAGGAAGTGTTGTTGCTGCAGATATTTTGAATCAATCATTATTTTTTTGGGGTGAATACGATTGAGTTGTATGTGTGTGTGTGTGTCATTCATTCGATGATTGGATAATCTACTTTCGATTTACTTTTTTTCATCATCATTATTAATAATGAATAAAAAAAATTGAAAATCATTCACCAACAAAAAAAAAAACAACATTTAAAAAGGTGTTCCAATATATAAAAATTCACAGTGGACAATGATGATTGATCGATTGGATGAAAAAAAAACATTCACGATTCATTTTTTCTTTCAGAAAAAAAATCACTGCTTAAACATTCAAATTATTGCGCCCAAATATTGTTGCTTTGCATGTGCGATAAAAATGATTCTTGGAAATTTTTTTTGGCATTCTATTATCATTTTCATTATTTCAATCATGATCAAGGATGAATTCACTGTATAAAAACAAGCTAGAATTGAATTGAAAACAATTGAATGGGTGGTGGTGGTAATGATGAGGGGAGGTAATTTAACTTGACTACTAAAATGGCCTCGAAATTACAAGCTATCAAAACAAAACAAAGCAAAACACGCCGAAAATAGCTCGTCGATCATCATCGTCATCATAATCGATTGAAAACGATGGATAAAATTGATCAATTTTTTCAAAATGATGAAAAATTTTTGAAAAGAAAAAATGATAATACTTTAAATGGAACAATAACATTGAAAATAAAATGATGATGATGATCATCATCATCATTATCTCATTTTGGTGTTTTTTCTCTCTTTGTTTGCAAGTCGAATCATTTTCTCTCTGAACAAGAAAAAATAAATTGAAAAAAAAACATGATCTTCAACTAGATATCATTATGTGATGCCTAAATATATGTCATATCTTTCTTGTGCATTAAATAATAATAATGATTTTCGATCAAACTCTGGTATATACACAAGAATTGATTCAATGGACGACCAACAAAAAAACAATGGATCGATTAGTGTCTGTGTGATGGTACAAACACAATTGATCCCATTATATTATCATATGATTTCAATTCAATTCATCATTCAAAATAATAACAAACAAAAGTGGCGCTAGAATGTTAAAAAACAAAATCATACACATGGACATTGAATTGAATTTGGTTTTTTGCAAAATAATTTTTCTGTGTGCATCGATGATGATGACAAAGACGACGACATGCTGATGACTGCGATATATGACCGGACAACCGGTCGGTTTTTTTTTGTTACTTTCAATAATTTTGAGATTTCCGTCGTAATAATCATTTTTTATCGGGATTTAATTTCCGAAAACCAAAATCCAAAGATGATCACTACTACCACCAACAGTGGTGATATATGTTTTTGCTTTTCTTTTCTTTTTGATTACAATGAATGAATGAATGACAAACGTTTCCATTCACTTTCGTTTGACCATCATCATCATCGTCACAAGAAAATCTTTTGTAAAGAAAAAAAATTAGGATATTTTTGACATATGAACCGTAGACATATTGTGTGTGTGTGTGCGTTGTTTTCATGAGAAGCATCATCATCATAAAGATGATTTGAAGATTTAGTAAATTTCGAATGATAATTTCCATATTATCAAATACCAACTGCTGTTGCTGCTGTCAAAGCAACAAAAAAAAATAATAAAAGGAAAACAAAATGAGCAGACACACACACGCACACACATATTACATGGAAATATATTGGACAAAATCATTCTCGGAAACGATTGATCATATGATGATGATGATGATGATGATTGTTTTCATGTCCGTTGTATTTGATGACAGATCAAATATAAAAATTGGTTATATTCAATTTTCATGATAATGTTTGTGCACATGTGTGTGTGAAATCACACGGGTTTATTTCGTTCCATTCCATTGATTTTCCTCTTTATCTCCTGCCACCATCATCATTGCATTATTAATTTTCAGGATGAATTGATTGTGTGTGTGTGTGATGAGGCCAGAAAAACCATCCTTGTCATCGATCACCTTTTTTCTGTGGTCGATTGGTTTATACAAATAGGAGGGAGAAACAACAAAAATGTATAAAAGTTTTACCTGTCAAACACAAGTCTGATTGGGCAGCAACAACAAAAAAAACAGATCTTCCAAGCCCTTTTATTAGATCCTTTTTTCCACTGTGTGGATATAATCTTTAAAAATTTTATTTTTTTCATAAATCCTAATAAGTCAATAATAAATTCAATAATCGAATTGATCACATGCAAAGATGATGTGAATGAATTTGGAACAAATCGAACATAGAAATGATTTATGATGATGATGATGATATAACGATTGATAATGATTATCATCGCGACCACATAATATTAAATAGAAAACAATGGAGGCCGATAAATGCTTTAACATGAATATCCGTGTTTTATGATTTTTTTCTTATTGAAAAAAATCCAATAATAAAACAAGCGGAAGCAATCTATAAATGATTATCAAATATTAATTTTTTTCAATACAAAAATCAATGATGATGATGATGATCGATCTTTAGATTGATCTGTCTATAATTGATTTTCAAAATGAAATTCTACTTTTTTTCATTCCAACTGACTATCAAATATCATCATCATCATTCAATCATGTCAAGAATAATAATTATTATATATGTGATATTTGAGATCCACAATGATTTATATGTGTAATTCATAATCACATTCATTTCATTCCATTCCATATTTTCATGCATTTGAATGAATGAAAATAAGAGAGAAAAAGGAAAATTGTAGCAAACAACAATAACAAAGAATGACAGCATAATTGTATACAATTGGATGCTACACACCACTATTATTTGGTTGTGTAGTTCAATTATTTTATCAGAGAGTGAAAAGCAAAGACAAGTTGCAACCAGTTGTTATTGTTTATAACCAAGAAAAAGAATGGTCAATTAATAAAACAAGTGGAAAAAAAACTGTTCCAGAAAAAAAAACTTGGACTTGCCATGATTTTCATCGTTTTTTGCTAAATAAAATATGATGAATATCAGAAAATCAACTTTGTTAGTTGGTTGGTTGAATGACGACGACGATGATACCTGAAATGACCTGATATGAAAGATGAGAAATGTGTATGATGATAATGATAATGATGATTCGCTGAATTATCCATCATCATGTTCAGCTCGTCAACACAACCCAAAGATATTTTTCGTAACAAAAGAAAAAATCATCATCTGTGCTGTTGTTGTTGATCAAGAAATCAATAATATTTCTTTCTCTTTTTTTTTGTTGTCAAACAAATCATTCATGTATCGATCAATGATCGGTCGAACAAACGAACGATGAATAATCAGAGAAACATGATGATATCGTGTGTGTGTGTGTGAGCATCGATCACAATAAATGAAGATTATTATTAAGTTGACATGATAAGGAAAGGATGAGTAAAAATTGAGCCAAGATTAGTTTCCATTTTTCAAAGTTTGACTAAAATTATTAGCTAATTTGCATGATATTCCAGTAAACTGATATTTATGATCATCATCATCATGATGTTTCAAAAAGTTTCCCACCAACGCACATTCAACATTAGAGAGAGAGAGACATGTTGATGCATCGTGTTGATCATAATGTTGTTCGGTCTTCGCGTGGTGGCGTTTCGTTGTCGATCTCTCATGATGTATGGTGTCCATTCGGGCTGTGAGAGCCTGTTTCTGGAGTTAGTCCTCTGTTCAGATGTTCTTTTCGATGTCATTCAAATTGAGTTCGTATTCGTTGCCGATATGTTGATGGTGGATTTCGTCGATTTTGTACAACATAGGTGCGCCCAGTC